TTACACGTGAGGGGAGATCTGGTCGGCAGATCTCCGGCACGGTGGGGATCTTGACCTAATGTCGCGGAGCTAGACTCGACGCGACCAGGCAACGCCTACAACAAAGAAACTAATACGATCTAACCCAAGGGCGGCGAGCGCGAAGGCTTGCTAACGCCGAGCGTAGACTTTCAAGTCAAATCTAGCCCAAGGACCAAGTTAATATTATGCTGACTAAGAGAATACAAAGGACGGCTTACCTAGCCCAAGGACCAAGAGGTCAAGATGAGGGCTAGGGTCGCTACAGGTGGGGTTTATATACTGAGTCAGGGGAGCCAAACATGTACAAACGTAAAGGTGGTCTGTGCGCACATTAGTGCCAGTCTGCAGGTGGGGGTCAGGTGACTGGTCACATGCTTCTAACTACTGGTTCTAAGTCTAAGTGTCGTACAAATGGCCGTAGAAAATAAGGAAAAATGTGGAAACATATAGGGGTCTTGTCGTCTCCACGACAGCACAGGCTCAAGGCTGGCCTGCTGAAGGCAGCTCAAACGTTTGACTCTGCTTCGGGGAAATTCAAAGAGGTATGCCTTTCGGAACGCTGTGCCTCACCTCGATCAATATCTCTCCTGTCAGTTCCAAGACGTGTTTTACGACAAGAAGTCTCAGCTCACTGCCGCGGAGCTACACGAGTACGATGATGTCTTCGATACTTTCAAGAAGACGATGGCCGTTTTCGAGTCGCAGGTTTCGTTCAGTAGGGAGGCTATGAGCGACTTCGAGCCGGTATTTCGTCTGCTAGACCGCACTCCAGTATGTATGTTCCTCTCCATCGTAATCTCCGTCTCATGGCTTCTCAGAATCAGATCCGCGTGTTGACGCGCCCACTGAACGACGCGAAGTCTCAGATTCAGAATGCCATCGCTGCAAGAGCCCTCCTTGCACGTCTTCAGATGCTGCACGACCGCCGACGCGCATTGGAGCAACGTTCCGAAGCGCTTTTTGTGGTTGTCAGCAGCCTCTTCGTCGGTGCAGCGCCGTTGACGTCGGAGGTGGTTCAGGAACAGCTTGCAAAGTTTGTCGCCCTGCACCGGACCCTCGAGGATCTTGGCTTGGAGCAGGCTCAGACTACCACCACGCTTCAGGTGAGTTCCGTATCTACAACCGGCGCTCTCTCGCCTTACCAGTTTGCAGAAAGTCTTTGAGCGTACTTCGTCCCCCCTGATGTTGGCTGGAACGAGCGCTGGCGCGCTATTCAGTGTCGTGGACCTGCGTAACGCATACAAGGTATTCACGCAGATTTACGACGCCGTGGACATGATGCATGAGGTACGTTACAGACTCATTGCCTTCCCCGCCACCATTTAACAGACAGATAGATGTCCGACCCACTTACCGCCGCCTTGGCTCGCGCCACGATTCAGCTCAAGGCTAGGGCTTCTTTCAACATCAGGGTGTTTGCGTTGTCTGGTGCAGCCCTCCGTGCTTAAGGTAATATGGCCTAAAGCGTAGAGTCCGCATAGCTAGTTCCTGGCCAAAGCGCCGTGTCCCGTAGCCCGCAATTGAATATGTCCCCCACCCTTGTTTTGTATGAGCGATGCAAGCCCTTCCGCCGCCTGTGCGCACAGTCCCTCTTGCTCTATCTGCGCATATACCAAAGGCTTCGGCGTGGTCCCGCTCTACTCTGCTACTTGTGGGTCCACGTTTCTCCTGATTGTCTCTAATTCAATATTGATTATATTGATTATCTTGATATTCTCAAGATCTCGGCGATCTCGGGCCATTCAAGGACATCAGCTTTCGCCGTGAACCTCCCTGTGGCTTTCCAAAACACGGTCCACGACATGCGACGTCTCATACTGGTCCGGCAGCGGTTCTTTCAAAAATGGAAACGAATCAAGCACAAGAGAGCTGCTGCGTGGTGGCCGCTCGTCCTTGATCAAACCGCTCACGTCTTGGCCTCAATATTCCTCGCCCTCGGGACTGTCTTACTCTGCTTCCCCGCTATCTTCTTTCACGCAAATATGTGCTGGGAGCTTTGGGCTGTCTGCGTCACCTTCTTATTCGACCTGTACTGTGTATACTACGTTGCGTCTGGTAAGCATCAGACACCTTGTCTGTAAGCCGCTTACGAACCTTGAGAAGGCCTCCGCTTTCGACCATGCGGTCCCGTCTCTTCCATGACAAAATTGGCGAAGGAAGGTCGCTATACGATTTTTGTGATGGGAGTCGGGGCTAGATCTATCCCTCTTGGTGAGATACAGAACCTCGTTGTAGTTGCGCCGAGCTCAAGAGTCACCCCACAGCTATCGGGCAATCGTCGACTGTACGGGACGTCCTGGAAGCACTGCGATCCCAGAGACGAATTCCTCGCTTGATGCAAATAACTCCCACTGTTCATTACGGCGGTCAATGGTCGGCGCTTTCAGAGGCTGTGGTGCTGTGGGACGTGGGCATGCGAAATCTCTCTACTCTACACGTCCATCACCAGGTCCTTGGAGGGAGCGGGAGGAGAGATGCGCACGGACCTCGTAAGCCTGCCCACTCTCAGTACAATTGCTCAGGGAATCTAACAAATTCCAGTCCGCGGTACGAGCCGATCCGGTCCCCAGTCAAGCAGGAGTCCCGGTTCATCCAGCCCCCGACCCAGTGCGTACATCATCAGGATCTTTACCATTTTGCCTACCCCAACGCCTGATGAATTCATCGAACACCAGTCCCGCAATCAACGAATCGCAGTAATCGACGACGTGCACAAACGGACGAGCTTCTGGAGAGATTGAAAGCGGCCGGTGTGGATGAAGATGGCCAACCTCTGAGCAACGACGCTCTACCTAGCTGTGAACCGATAGCTCATTCGTCCACGGAACCCCGTCCCCCGGGAAATCGCGCGAACAGAGATCAAGCGGCGAACCTCCCTAGCCTCACCTCTACGCATCCTGCACCCCTCTCCGCTACCGCCGGTGGAACACGACTCCCCACCGATGTTCAGGAAGATCAGAATGCTCTCTCCCATTCGCCTGAAGCAGAGAAAGACCTGGACTTCTTGGAAGGCTACGTCCGAAGTACGATTTGGTCGTATGGGTACCACGGCCCCCTTTCCTTCCGTTCCAACCTCGCCGATGTCGATACCTTTCAACTGGTGGAACAAGGATCTCTAGCAGACTTCAATACCGGCGTATTCGCTCTCTCCGATCACCCGTGTAACGTCGACTTCTTGGAGCACGAGAAATGGCTACTTTGCATGCTCTCTGAGGTCGACGCTCTCCCGGCGTACAACATCGACATCCTCGATGCTCGGAGCTCAGAGCTCCGTCAGCTCGTTTGCAACGAGCTGCTACGGCTGCAGAATCACAAAGATGTGGAATGGCGCAGACAGAAAGTGGACGTACAGCGGTGCGAACGCGCTGGTGTGCCGTTCTTTGACTCAGGCAAGACAACATCGAAACTTAACTTGAACATGGACGCTAACGCATGCATCTATTTGGCAGCGCATTATTATATCCAGCCTCATCAAAGGATGAACCCTCTCGTGCTCGCGCATCATCTCACCGCCTTGATGATGCACCTGTTCTATCGGCTTCCTCGGCGTGCCAGCGGGGTGTTGCTCAAATGCCTGCGCTTTCTTGTTCGGGCTGCCTTTCGAATCGCAAAAGGTGGACGATTGTCGCCGCGAGACCAGGCCCTCATCGACCACCTCCCGATAGACATCCGCACAGTTGTCAATTGCTTTCGCCTCGACCCTCATACTCGTCGCTATCTCTGCTGCCCGGTCTGTTATGCACTTCATGGCGATCGCCCCTACCCTCAACGATGCACCAACCAAGAGACACTTTCCAGTGTACCATGCGACGCGCCGCTGTGGAAGAGTCGTACTCTGCGGGGGAAAGTCTTCTATACGCCTGTTCGCGTCTACCTGTATCAAGAAATGATAGACTGGCTCGCACGCCTCCTCGCGCGCCCGGGAATGGAAGACGCCATGGACGACGCCACCGTCCGAGCTCAGGGACCACCGAAGCTGATCATGAAAGATGTCTGGGACGCCCCTGTCTTCCGCAAGCTGATGAGAGATGGAGTCCCCTTCGTCAATGCACCCCCTCACGAAGGACGCTATATCTTCGGTCTCTCTATCGATGGATTCAACCCGTTTCATTCGAAGGAAGCAAAGCAGAACGTCACCGTCACTGGGATCTACATGGTCTGCCTGAACCTCCCTCCCCATCTGCGCTACTTGCCGGAGAATGTCTACCTCGTCGGCGTCATCCCTGGTCCTCAGAAGCCTTCCCTGGACCAGATCAATCACTTCCTGAAGCCGCTGGTCGACGAGCTTCTCGTACTCTGGGAAACCGGAGTTTTCTTCTCTCGCACCGCAAACTATCCCAGTGGACGACTCGTTCGTTGTGCGCTCATTCCGCTGGTTTGCGACCTTCCGGCAGCACGTCAGACGGCGGGATTCGGGGCTCATAACGCGAAGTTCTTTTGTAGCATGTGCCATCAGAAGCGGTCCGACATCGACGACCTCGACATCTCTTCCTGGATTCCGCGAAGCTGCGAAGAGCACCGGGAAGCTGCTCAAGCCTGGAAAGACAAAGCGACCCCCGCTCAACGCGAAGCTGCATTCAAAGATAACAGTACACGATGGTCAGAACTACTCAACCTGCCATACTGGGATCCTATCAGCTACACGGTGATAGACTCGATGCACAACCATTACCTCGGCTTGCTGAAGCACCACTGCCGGAAGATCTGGGGGATGAACGCTTCGAGCGAGGACGCGGAGGATCCCGATGCTGCCGGACCTTCACCACCTTCTGAAGAGGACTTATCTATCGGCCTCGGCCATCTATATTCCGGGACCAACGCTCAGCTAGCCTCTTGTAAGAAGGCGGTTTTGAAGTACCTGTGTTTCTCGGTACTAGGAATCCGCACTGGAATCAAGAAGTCGAACAAGGACCACTTAGCTAGGCTCCTTCAGGAATGGGTAAGTCTATCACAACTACGGACACAGAGTACGACGTTAACATCCACTTGCTAGCGCGTCAAGGAAGGTATCTATCCGTCAGAGCTCGATGCTCCTGCCCCTGCGCCCAACATGCGCCGCAAGGCGGTGGCGCGCGCCGTCGCCTCGGAAGAAGATGTACTCAAAGCGATGGCAGCTTTGAGCGAATTGCCACCCCCATCCCGGTTCTGTAAGCGGTTCAACCTCGCAGTCTTGCGTATTCTCTGTGAAAGGGAGGGTCTCGACGACGGTGGCGACAAAATCGACCTCGCTCGCCGATTGATTCAGAAAGTATGCCCTTCATAATTTTGCACTCCTCACCGACAAAGCTGATACTCACATCACAGCGAGGGGGTCTCCTACCTCAAGATAAGAATGATGGGGCTACGGCGATGCCGACGACTCCCCAGGCAAGCTGGGTACCGTAACATGACAATTTCTTTTAATACTCATGACAATCTCTAGGACCCGCCTCCGCTTGCAGGGCCGTCGCGATCCGGCGATGCGATGGTTCGTTTATAGTACTCGATTTACCTTCACAGAGGATTGATCATATACATATTATAGGACGGCGCTGAGCAGCTGGGATCAGACACTGGGGCCGTCCTAGGGAGTAGCATGATGGCGCATATTCACGCCGAACTTCGCAACACCGAGCTACCCTCATGGATCAACCCGGTTCCTCGTAATGTCGGTACGACATCTCGCGGCAAGCTCAGCGCCGATCAATGGCATATCTTCTGCGTCATCAACCTCCCAATCATCCTCATCCCTAAATGGGCGCCCAAGGGCGGAAGGTCCGTGGAGATGCTGGAAAATTATATGCATCTGGTGACCGAGGTCGTTGTGGGGAGCCTACTCGAGATGTCCGAAGAAGCCATCACTCTCTATGAGACGTCTGCGCTTGCGTACCTGAAGACCACGCGGCAGCTCTACGGCATCTCGTTGACGCCGAACCAGCATAACTCCCTCCATATTCCCTTCTTCCTGCGTCTCTTCGGCCCTCTTCACTCCATCCGCACGTTCTTCTCCGAGAGAATGAACTATCTGTTGCAACAGCAGAACACCAACCTCAAATTTGGTACGTAGCCTGGACACCAAATTCGCCGTCATCACTTCATTAAACGCTATTCTTGCTCCCGATCCAGGGGACTTGGAGATGACCTTCATGAAGCACAGCTGCCGAGCTGCCAATTTGCGGGCCATACTTGACGACCCGGAGATACGTCCGCAGGTAGCAGAACTTTTGGAAGCGTATGTGCAACTACAAAGCGAAGACCGGCGGGGGACCAGGCTGCGGGAGTCGGTTTCACTGGGGGACCCTTTCTCGACATCGGGCACAGGGTCAGTGAAGCCCACAGCTCTCGAGGACGCCCCATTTCGAGCTCTTCTGGACTTCATGAACGCCGAAGCCGGAGGAGAGCAGTTCATCGACATTCGAGATCGCCGACGCATCCCCGGGAGTAGGCAGCTCCTGAACCACGCTGTGCACGTTCCCTCTGTTCAAGTGCACGGTGTCTCCTTCCGAGCTGAGGTCAACTCTTCCAAGGATAGCAATATCATCTTCTGGACAGAGCGATCGCGTCGCACTTTCTCGGCGGCTCGTATCCAGAAGATCTTTTCCTATTCCTATCGTGAACCTGACGGGCAAGTCACCGCAAAGACGTACCTCTTCGTCCGCCCATATGCAGAATTGTCGGAGGCGGATACTACGCGCGACTACTTCCGGAGGTACCCTTTCGTTGGTGGTCAGCTGTATTACCAGCGGCAGGTTCCTGGAGTCGTAATCCCACCAGATCGAATCATCTCTCACGTCGCCCGCACACCTCTCGTCTTGCCGGAAATGGATGAACCATGTGTGCATATCCTACCTTTAGATAAGGTACGTCGCTTTTGCATCTCTTCATTGTTCCGGACTCATTCGGTGGGGTTTGCATTTAGAGCGTCAGACTGGTGACCTCTCTCCGTCGAGAACAAGAAGCAGCCGGCGCGGAGGACACAGTGGAGGGAGCAGGGGAAGGTGATATACTGGATAACCTCGGTGTGCTTTGATAATGCAGGGATATAGCATGTATTTATCGTCCGGGTACCCGAATGCTACGGCGTCAACGCAGGCTGCGATGAGCACCGAAGGTCAGTAGCCTCGTGCCAGAAACACGTGATAGTCTCACAATGGACATTCGGGACGCTTGTGCGCCTACGCGCCCAAAGGCTTGTCTTCGCCCATCCGAACGAGATGGATTTTACCCTCAACTACCCATCTCCTTACTTGCCCTCTGCTTGCAACTTCTACCAGCGAACCGACATGGCAGGTGCTTCTCGCCGAAGGACATTGATGGTGAAAAACCATGTCGTACACCCTACGGTGACATCAGTTCGCCCCGACGATTGGATGGTACACCCGGTTCTATATCACGCCACACCACTCTCACAAATGCGCACGACAGGAGACCTATCCCAACCGGCGGCGCTTCTCGTATGCTTTACGCAGGATTTCAAGGTTGCCTTCTACCTTTCAAGGTTGCCTGTACATCGTCGTTTACCTACTGCAGCTATACAGGCAGCGAACCTCTGCCTCGTTCAGACTACCGTGTAGCTGACGGCCACGCGCAAGACGTGCTCATAGACGATCTCGGTGGTATTGCAGCGAGGAATGACAACTGGGCAATCCGTGAGTGCGATGTTACAACGATCTAACCAACCCCGCCTCATGGGTACCTCATCCAGCCCAAAGGGACGACGGTGAAGGCGAAGGCGATCCCGCTTTTGCCCAACAAACTCCCCCGAACTATCCCGCCTGCTGGTCATATCCGTCGGAGGAGCTTGCGCCGCCTCCTTGTCCGGCTGGACCTTCGTTGCCGCACAGTTTCTTGCATTCCCTCTCGCATTCATTAGTCACCACTCAAGATTGCGCCGACGTCTCTGTCGAGGGGTGCGACGAGGTCTTCACGGGTACAGACGGATGTCTGCCTGGTGATACGCAGTGGTGCCAGAGTGCAGCCGATGGTGAGTTCCCACCTCGCGATGTGCTTACGCTCAATACTGATCTAACACTCTTGGTATCTCGTTCTCTCTCCTACTGCACCACCTACTATGTAATCACCTACAGATGAGGCGTCCGATGTCAATCACCCTCACGGCCACGCCTCTGCACCGACGGACACTGAACTCACCCCTACGCCAGCTCGCCGGCCCGAGCCTATTCCATTCATTCGTTTTGGCAACGCTGGTCCTCAGGATCGCCCTCGTGCATTCTGTCCCCCTCAACCATCTTATCGCATGTCGAAGGCGCCTGGAGCCCTTCAAGAGCATTCCGACGCCCTCTACAACCTGAACGCACTTTCTTATCGTGCCAACGTATCCCAACCTGACCAGTGCCCGCCACGATCGTCTATCCAGGCCGAATCCCCGATAGCGCCTTTGCCTCCTTCCGCACCCTCGGCCGCTCAGTCGACACCGGGGCCCTCGCCTGTTCAGTCGACGTCTGAGCCTTTGCTCAACCAGTCGTCGCAAGAATTATCGACCACACAGCCTACTCCCATGTCGCCATCCTCGCAGCCTATCTCTGGTCCATGTTCCGTACAGCTTCCCCCGTCACGGTCTTTGGATCGTGAAGCGACTCAGACCCCTCCCCATGACTCTCCTACGACGCCTGCTTACAATCTTCCCGTCGCAGAGTATCTGGACTCTGAAGCGAAGTTGCACCTTATCGATGACTGGGAGGATTACAGGGACTCTCGTGACATCCGCGGCACCAACCGCCAGACTACCTGGTACAAGACATCCGGCCCTTTCGCCGTCAATCTACCCCCGTCCACCTTACCGGGCGACATCGACAACATCTACTTGCACTACAATACCCTCACGAAGCGGGCCAAGATTTGGGTGTTTAATATCGATGTGGGTCATCATTAGGCCAGGGGACCCTCAGCCGTCGGATCCCGACCGTCGACTGTCGCTCTCTGACTCCGGACGGCCTAGCTGGGTTACGAAAGCGTCTTGGAGTGTGTATCGCAGCCGGAAAATGAAGGCCCGCCGCATGGGACCTCCGTCTACTGGCGCGGTAAGTTCAGCTCCTTACATCACGCGCTGCTATGCTCATCATGGTCATGTACAGGTCTCAGGTTAGCTGTCAGCGCAAAGTTCTCCGGCATAGGCGGCTCAGCGCACTCTATGGTGTAGCACACTTCGTGGTGGCTATGGCATCGAGGTCAGGCTGCGAAGGGGCCTACGTATCTGTTGTTCTATCCCACATGTACTATGTTTTGTTGAATGCATGTCCTTCATCGGCATCAGAGCCTTTTCGAAGCTTGAATCTTCGAGTTTAGACCTGTGTTACTCTCGACACAATCACGGATGGGCAAAGCCGTCCCCACCATGCCTAAAGGCGTGATAAAGGCCTTCGTTCATCTGGTGTCGCGGCAGGCGACGTCTCTGAGCATCTCCTTCATCCTCTCAACATCCTACCATCTACGACCACCTATTGACAGTAGCATACCTGCGCTTTGATTCATGGATATGATAGGTACGCTCTCCCCGCCTCTACCCGTAACCCGTGGGCGATGTGAATATGTTATTCACGAGCATCGGCATATTGCGCAGATGCGCCACCCACGAGCGCTAAAGAAGGTCAGTGGCCGCGATGCTCGTTGCTCCCACGAGTCGCGACCTGACTTTCATCTGCCTCCCTCAGCCAAAAAGAGACAGCTGGACGACGACGACGAGCCCGACAATGACAGTGATAGAGCGAATAATTCCGGGGCGCCTGGGGTGAAACGACCTCTTCGGCATGCCCACGATTCCGACCGCCCTGTGAAACCCATTCGTGGTGAGTTCCTTTAAGCCGCCCGTTCGTTCTCTGCTCATCAGAGCATGTTGCACGTAGCTTCACGGGTTGGTGGTGATTCTGTCTCTCTACCACTCGCGAACTCTCAGCCAGAGGCAGAGCCGCCCGATGAAACCACACCCCCACTCGCTCTTGAAGCTACATCAGCTTCGGAAGATCCTACCGTTGGGCGCCATAAGAAACGACGAGTGATGGGGCCCTCTGTTATTGCTTTCCTGACTAATATTCTTGGGTCTGTAATTGCGGGTGTAGATGGCGTCACCCTGAGCGACGGCGCCGTTGAAGCTCTTCGGCGACACATCGCGAAACCCGAGATTCGACAACTTTTGATAGAGCAGGGTTTCTGCTCCGAGGACGAGTACTCGGATGACGATATGGACGTTCTGAGCGAGGAGAATATGCTCCCTTCCGAGTCGATGAACAACGAGGCCATTCAAGACAGGACAGAGGAAGATCAGATCGAAGATCAGTTGCTCTCCATGTCCAGCGATGACGATATGGTTTCTTGTCCTTCATCTCCGATATTGCTTGCTTCTTCGTCGTTCGTCGAAGGAGATACGCTAAAGGTGCGCTCTCTACGTTGATATAATTTAAGTATGTGGGTTGACCGGCGTCATACTACAGGCCTCGTCGCAAGGCCAAGTTCTTACAGAAGTTGCCACACCAACACCCTCACTGTCTGAAGCGCTACCGCCAGACGTCGCCTGTACTGCGCCGGACGCAGACATTCCTATGGTGGCCGCAGGACCTCCACGCACGCGCGTCGGGATTCCCCCGGCTGTGTCGCAGACCCAAGCCACCGAGGTCGCGATCAGTGTCCGTTCGCGCTCGCCATCGCATGCCGGCGGCTCGTCGGAGGCGGATATTCTAATGGCGGCCGCAGAACATCTATCCACACGCGTCGAGACGCCCCCACCTGCGCCGCAGATCCAGGCCACAGAGATCGCGATGAGCGTCCGTTCGTCCTCGCCGTCACACGCGGGTGGTAAGTCGAAGGTGGATATTCCGATGGCAGCATCTCCACCCACGCGCGTAGGAAGTCCCCTGCCCGTGCAGGCTCAGAGCACATACATCGCGATGCGCGTCCGTTCGCGCTCGCCGTCACACGATATTCCGATGGCGGCCGCAGAGCCTCCGTCCACGCTCGTCGGGACGCCCCCGTCTGCGCCGCAGATCCAGGCCGCAGAGGTCGCGATGAGGGCCCGCTCGCGCTCGCCGTCACACGATATTCCGATGGCGGCCGCAGAACCTCCATCCACGCTCGTCGGGACGCCCCCGTCTACGCCGCAGATCCAGGCCGCAGAGGTCGCGATGAGCATCCATTCGCCTTCGCCGCGGCACGCGCGCACCGGGATGGTGGTCAGAAGACCTCTACGCATGCGCATCAGGACGCCCCCGTCCATGCCCCAGACGGACATCGCGACGCGAGTCTGTTCTACCCCGTCGTCGAGTGCCAGCAGCGCGTCGGAGGTGAATATTCTGATGGTGGCCCCAGGACTTTCGGCCTTGCGCGCCGGAACGCCCCCATCCACGTCGCAGATCCGGGGCACCAATGCCCACATGCGCGCCCGTTCGCCGCTGCCTCCACAACCGCTGGACATTGTGATGGCGGTACCGGAACCTGAGCTTGCGAACGTCGCGACGCCCGTCCTCGCCCATGCATCCACGGGCACTCGCCCTCTTTCAAGCCCACGCCTACACCATCACTCCCCCCATAGAGAAAGCTCCGTGTCTTTGCCAGCTGATGACGCTGAGATACTGTCACTTTTGCCTTCGTTAGCGGACGGACCGCCGGATACCAGTGTTGCTCGCGTTACAACGCAGTTCACAGGCTCCACAGTGCCGCGTCGAGAACCGAGTCATAATGCAGCCGCACTTGTCGCCGCTTGCGCATCGGGAACGCAACCTTTTTCATCGCCAATCTCCTCCATGCCTGAGGACATGCACCCAGTACGGTCCACTCATCCACCGGTATCATCGAGTACTGTGGTCGCGTGGAAACCTGTTCCAGGCGCAGATGGCGCAACGCAGGTCCCCGTCGCGGCTCAGAGTGCTCCACAGGGCCCTACCTTCTGTCGGTCCTTTACCTTCACGAATACGTCAATGTCGCTCTCCCCGCCACAGCTTCGAGGTTCGACCGGCAAGGCCGACATGTTCGCCATGCCTCCCACTCCTCCGGCGATCCCTATGGGTGCGAAGGACGGGATACGGGTGCCGCCTGCGCATAACAGGCTGAAAAATCCTGCCCAATATGTACAACCATCACCATCTGGAGCTGCGACGCCGCTTGCCTGCGCGGAACTGGGGTCTCCGCCACCGTCTGCTACGCCGGCATGGGCGCCAGTTGGTCGAACTCACGCTCCGTGGCCAGATCGGCAGCCGGGGCTCGCTACACCCTCTCGTGTTGGACCTGCTTCTGAGCCGCCACGATCTCAGGAACTGCCGCCGGGCCCATCGGGATGGACGTCATCAGCAATAACAGCATCCTCGTCCCAAATGGATGTTCCAATGAGAACCACGTCTCCGTTGGACGAACCACACGCCACACTTGGCTGGGATGCGCACCCGCCGATGATGTTCTCCGAGGGTATAGCTTCTATTGGAGGAGATTGTCATTCAGGCGGTCAGCGCGTCGCCGTAGTACCCATTCAACCAGAGCCATTGCCACAGCCGTCTGAACGCGGCTTGCGCTCTCACTCGACGCCTCTGGTTACGCAGAGCAATGCGCCGAGGACGTCGCAAGTAACGGCTTCGGAATCAATTCCGGTTAGAGACTTCTTTTACACGAATTGAGTTTGCATATCTGACCAGTCAAACTATAGCACTGCGAGGACCTCAACGCAAGCCAAACCCCGAGGGATGCACGCCCCCATGCCATCGCTCGCCCCCGGGCGGTTGAACCACCACCACACAGTGCAATAATGTCGGCTTGGGGCGTCAACCGTCTCAAGGCGCTGACCAACGTCATGCAGACCCGGGATCAACAAGGATTATCCTCTCGGACGTCTTCTGCTGCGAGGTCGCCGTCCCCAGAAGACGCTATGACTGGTGTCGTGGCCTCCCTAGATGTCAGTACGTTTCCCCCACAGACACTACTCGGCCGTCAAGGAGCCGTCGGTCGGTCCTCCCCTTCTGGGTGCGCAATCACGCCGACCGAATTCGCCAGCCTACACGCACACCCAGGAGGGTTCCAGACTTACACCGCGCGTGTGGCGACACCTTCTGCCCCTTCCCCTGCCCCTACCCCTCCACCTTCCACGGACATCTCTATGCGCGGGCCGGTGAACCATTTGTCTTCGGCAGTACCGGCGTCAACATCTAGCGGCACGTTGAGCACGTCGTCTGCGCCTCCGGTACTCACTCCGCGTGCTCTGGAGAAACTGCCCTTAGGAACGCCTATTCCGGCGAGTGTCCTCACCATGCCAATCCCTCCTTCCCTACCTCTCGTCTGGCCTACGTCGCAGGTATCGGGTACAGGACGGGCATGGAGTTCTCAAGCAGGAGCTTCGGCGGACAATTCGAATCATGCTGCCCAAAATAATGTCGGCCATCTCGCTGCTTTCTGTCTACCGACAGGAAGGCAGGGCTCTATGAATGGGGAAGAGCCGTCCAACCCGACTGGAACGACTGGCGATGTCAATCCACCGACTCCTCCTGCTCAGGCTTCACCTCAAAACAGAACATCGGCGACGTTCTCCAGTTTTGGGTGGCAGGCTCCCGCAAGCGGCACCAGATATCAGTCCCCCGTTGGTGATCCGGTGAGCATCATATAACCTCTCGCGACTGTAAAAGGTCCTAATGGGAATGGAAGGACGCATCCATCACTCGACGTGACGTTGATCGCATGATCGACGCGATGTACGGTGTGTCGACCGAAGTACGCGCCTTATCCAGCCATGTCGTACAGGCACTCCCTCACATGGCTCAACGCGGCTCAAGCGCGCGAGGTGCGGGACGGTCTTCTCGGGCGCAGCCCCAGGAAGAGGTGGTAGACGAAGAAGAATCCGGTACAGAGTCCTCAGTGACTATGCCCTCGCGCAAGGCCCCTGGACTTACAAAACATCGTTCTCGTGAGCAGTTGACGTTGCAGGTTGGTGCACCCTTGTTACTTGTAGACCACACCGCGTTACTCATTTCGGCTTCGCAGGCGAATGTCCAGGCTCATGCCCGGTACCTCATGGGTCGCGAGGATCACGTTTCTCCGTTCCCGGAAAACTGCATTGCCAATGCGCGCGAGGTGCGAGGCTGGACGCGTGAAGAGGGCGAATGCTGCACCGCCGAGGCGTTCCGTCTCGACCTCAACAGTAGCCCTGGCTCTGCCTGGAACAAATCCGCCATCACTGTCTTCGTCGACGACTTTATCGAAGTAGGGGCCTATGCCTGTACGGACCGCGCTCAAATTCGGCGGATGATGAATAGGCATTTCCGGACCCTGAAGCGTCGTTACAAGGCAGCAATGGCTGATATCGAGGCGGCTTCGCGAGGTGCTACCGTGGATAGGTCTCAAGGCAAGACGGACGCGGCGAAGAGGCAACGTCGGTACAACGTGAGTGCATTAAATATGTTGGCGGCGATAATCGTCTCAAAACGTCTTCTAGAAGCATCAAAAGCGCCTTCGTATCGCTCTATGGTACCCCGAGACCCGTAAACACGGTCCGCTGGTTCACGCCCTCGGTCCTGACGGCATGAGCTCCGACGAGGAGGAATATAGCGGTACAATCTTACTGCACTACCGCATCTCAAGCTGCCCGTGGAGAGAAACCCGCGTGACGTCTATCATGCGCCTGCTCGACGCTCTCGAGCGCAGGTACCGGAGCGATCTCGGCCAAGGAGACTTGCGCGGTGCCAAGACTCGCCTGCGGTGCTTGTCCGAGAAAGTGTCAAAGCGGACGCGTGGAGTTCCCGGTTTACCGCGTGATGCGTACGATGCAGCGTGGCTAGAGGGCCTTCGCCCGTTGGAGCGGCGTGACCTTGAAGTCAAAGAAGGTGTCTATGACTTCTCTGTGCCGGCCAACATCCAGATGTGAGTTTTTGCTCTGCAGCTACTACGGCATCCGCTCACTGGCGTTTAGGGATGCTGCACCGTTCGCACAACATGTCATCAATGGGTATACTTACGTGTAGAGCAGAAGGAGCAGGACGTGCGTGACTCGGACAGCGGCATCGAGGAAAGGTAAGAGGGGCTCGGAAGCTAGTAGCGGGGCTGTACGTGTAGTGGATGTCAGAGTAGTACGTTGAGGGTGTATATGATACGTTTTCGTCCTTAGTATGGTGGGCGCGGCTCGAATAGGGTCATAGCGGGCGAAGACGGGGGCAGGCACTTCGCCTGCCACCGATGCGCAGATTTCAGACCAAAAAGTGTGCCATGCTGGGGCTCGAACCGTGGAGCAGTATGGCCGGACCGAAAACGTTGTCTTAGTTGCCACTTGACTATATCAGCGACACAACGATAGCCGTAACGCATACCAGGTGTAATTGTGCAATGAAAGAGCGAATGGCGGGCGGCCACGGCCCACCTGTACGTACACGGGCCCCGAGCTTCGGAATAATCCACTTTCCCTTCCCCCTGAGTCTCTGCTCTTCCCCTCTGAATCCTCGTCTCCATGTGTTGTCTGATCTCTACAATACTTTCTATACAGTGTTGGAGCAAGCAATCCGAGCGCAGTGACAGCACGAGCTCCCGATGCCTGCGCGTGCGGATGCTGTATGTGCGACACACACACTTGTCGTACCTCACGCTCGACCTATTGCATACCGGGTATACCTACACCTTGCTCTATGATATGCTAC